CATAACATGGCAGAGATCTTAATTTAGCAGGTGAGATCTGGGTGGTAAGGTTATGTCTAGGGTGACCAGACCTAAGGCTCTCCCCCAAACATCTTCTCCTGAGTAGTGAATGTAACCAGAAGACACTTTAAGACCTTGAGGTCATCTCAAAAGATCATTTCTAGCCAGGTGTGGTGGTGAATGCCTGCAATCCCAGTGGCTCAGGAAACTGAGGCAGGAGGATCTCAAGTTCAAAGCCAGTCTCAACACAGAGAGGTGCTAAGCATCTCAGTGAGACACTGTCTCTAAATAAAATACAAAATAGGGCTGGGGATGTGGCTCAATGGTTGAGTGCCCCTGAGTTTGATCCCTTTTACCAAAAAAAAAAAAAAAAAGATTGTTTCTTTCCTCAAATGAATTGAGTTCTTTCTGATAAGAAGACTAATCATTAAATGCACTTATGCACTTATGCACCGTGCCTGGCATATACTATGTACTTAATGGATTTTAGTCAAATGATGAATGAATAAATAAAGAGGCCTAGATTCTCTTAATTTAGCTCTATCTTGTCTAACAGTAGCATATGACTATTTAAATTCAAATTAATGAAAATTAAATTATGTTTAAAATTCATTTTCTTTATTATGTATTAGCCACAGTTCAAGAACACCATAACCATCTATGGCTGGTGGTTACCATACTGGAAAGGGCAGATATAGAACATTCCCATACTTACAGAAAGATCTGTTGGATAGTACTAGGCTAGATGATGGGTGGGGTGAGAGAATGAAAAGTGCTTCGTTGAGAAAACAGTGTAGGCTGATGGGTTTCATAGGCTGTGGACTTTTGAGAACATTAAGATCAGCCAAGAGCAATAGTGTATGCCTATAAACCAGTGATTTGGGAGAATGAGAATAGCAAGTTCTAGGCCAGCCCCAGCAACTTAAAGAGACCCTGTCTCTACATAAAAAATAAATATATTTTGAATAGGGCTGAGAATGTAGCTCAGTGGTAGAGCGCCTCTGAGTTCAATCTCCAGTACTACAAAATAAATAAACAATAAGTTAAGATCATTTGCTAGATGTGGTGGTACATGGCTATAATCCCAGTTACTTAGAAGACTGAGCAGAATTGTAAGTCCAAGGCCAGCCTAGGCAACTTAGTGAGACTCTGTCTCAAAATATAAAATAAATAGATAAATAAAAAGGGTTGAGGGGTGTACAGTCCTAGCATGCACAAAGTCCTTGGTGTCCTTGGTTTGTTCCCTAGTACTAAAAAAAAAAAAAAAAGAAAAGAAAGAAAGAGGTAAGATCAATCCCCTCTCATTAGATTTTTTTCTCGTACTGCCAATTCAGGACTCCAGAAACCACTTCCTGAGAAATATTTTATTGAGAAAAGGAAAGATCTTTCTGTTCACATCTACACTTCTAGGAAAAGGAAGTCAGGAGGTTGAAGGGGGAACTAAGGCGACTAAATTCCCTGTCATTGGCAACACAGAACTAACTATTCTACCGCGCTTTGTACCCATGATGTCATCCATTCTCAGGCAGCACTGTAAGGACACAGAAGAGTGGTGAGAATAAGAGGCCAAAGGTCATAGACTTATTAAACAGTGGAGGCTAGTCTCCACACTCAAAACATCAGTAGGAGCCAGGTGTGGTGAAACACGCCTGTAATCCAAGCTACACAGGAGGCCAAGGCAGGAGGATCCTGATTTGAGGCCAGCCTGGGCAACTTAGGGAGACCGTGTCTCAAAATATATATATATTTTTTTAAAAGGATAAGGGTGTAGCTCAGTGGTAGAGTGATTAGCTAGTGGTAAAGTACCTAGCATGTTCAAGGCCCTGAGTTCACTCCCTGATACCAAAAACAAGAGCAAAAAGCATTAGTAGGCTGACTTTCAAACGTTTTCCAACTAGGAGCTGTGGAAGGCAGAGAGATGTATAACATATGAGCTTTGAAGAATTTATAACCTAGTTAAAGAAAAATAAGGGACAGATGTGTAATAACTATGTAGCTACATATAACTATCTGTAGCTGTGTGTATATCTAATAACATAATAGCTGATATTTGTTTGTTACATTAGAGCTTAATAAGAACTTTTCCTTCTATGAAGACCTCACAGATGACCATGATGAATGTCAATGAATGGAATGCTGAGACAGAGGGCACACATTCTGGGAATTCAGAGCAGGGTGAGATCACTGCAAAATGGGGGTTGGGGGAAAGTTTGGATTGAAGTATAGAACCAGCAGGAATGTCAGATAGTCATGCAAACTTGATACAACTCTTGGTTTACTAGAAACCATATACTCCATTGCTTGTAGTTTTTAATGTGAAAAACCAGCCTCTACCTCAGAGCAAAGCCCGTCCAAGGAAGGGACATGACCTTTGTCCTTGGAAAGACCCACAGAGCACTCCTAGGCACATTCCCACCCTGCTAAGTGGTTTATCTACAAATAACAGGAGAGATCTTCTGCACCAGGTGTCCCTGACTCAGTCAGGCTAGGTGGGACCCATAGCAACCCCCTAGCAGCCAGCAATCAGCATGAGACAGGGAAATACCTGGGATGCCAATGACCCTCCCAGCAGTTTATGGTGGTTGATAACATGTTGGGAAATCTTGTAGTTCAGCATGAACACCCCTCTTGGCTTAAACCAATCAGTTCAAATGAATCCCCCTCTTGTAGTAACCAATCACCCCTACCCAACTTGTTCCTGCCAGTGAATGTGCTAATCATGTTTTAGAGTTGTTATTTGATTTTCCCGCGGTGTGTGATGATTTGCTAAGAGATGCTATGATGTATGTGGGGGTCCCTGCCTTCTCCAAAGAATGTATATAACTGCTGCAAACCCTGGGCTAGGGGCCTCTCAGCGTCACCAGTTACTGTGTGTGCACGGAGGACCAAGCTAGCTCGAAATAAACACCCCTTTGCTGCTTACATCGATCTTGGGTCTCTGGTGGTCTTTTGGGGGTCCCGAATTCGGGCATAACATTTGGTGCATGTGTGCATGCATATGTGTGCGCATATGTCTGAGACAGGGTCTTGCTATTTTGCCCAGGCTGATCTGAAATTCAAGATTCTCCTGCCTCAGACTCCTGAGTCACTGGGACTACAGCTGGGCACCACTGCACCTGGATTCCTTTTATTTCCTAGAAGATAAAATGCTGACCAAAAGCCAGGCACAGTGGTGCATACCTGTAATCCCAGAAATTTGGGAGGCTGAGGTAGAAGGTTACAATTTGGAGACCAGCCTAAGCAATTTAGTGAGACTCTGACTCAAAATAAAAAATAAAAAGAAGTAAGGATGTAATGTAGTGGTACTACATACCCCTGGGTTCAATCCCAGTATTACCAAAAAATAATAATAATAATAATAATAAAATTAAAAAAAAAGCTGACTAAGAGTACTTGGTCTATGTTTTCTCCAGTTTTCCACCCAAATACCCAAATGAACAAAACATAACAAACAAAAAAACTCCTGCACATTTTACAGTGACTCTAGAATTTTAAGTTGGATACTCTAAATGTAAAATGTTTTGATTTAATAATGCTGTGGTGAGCATCCTGTGGTGTATTTCAAATATTTTACCTAGCACTCGGGGTTATATAATATTAGTTCTGCCCATAATTTCTCCGGTATAGAACACATGAAAAGGGCTGGGGATGTGGCTCAAGCAGTAGCGCGCTCGCCTGGCATGCGTGCGGCCCGGGTTCGATCCTCAGCACCACATACAGACAAAGATGTTGTGTCCGCCAAATACTAAAAAATAAATAAAAAAAAAGAACACATGAAAAGTCCAACCTTGCACTCTGACCAGGCTTGCCTAAATTCTCCTTACATAATTACAGCCACTTTCTTGCCAGTAGCGATTTAGCAATGTTCTTCTAAAGTTCTATGCACTTTACTTCAACTTCCTTTAATTTTTCTAAAGCTTTTAGTTTTCTTTAATATTTGAATTTCTTTGGCTTCAAGTTACAGAAACACATTGTGGCTCACTTAAACTGAAAAGCTGAATATTGGGAGGATATTGGATGGTTTCTATAATCAAAAGAAGACTAGAATACCAGCCTCAGGAAACAATAGGAGCCAGGGTAGTTCCAGAGGATTGGTAGTGAGAATCAACAGTCTTGCCTTGGTGGCTTGCTGAAATGAATGGGCACTCATTCACTTTTTTTTCTATCCTTTTCATTCCTGTTTATCATTCAAAGCCCCAACAGAGGAGTCTGATTAGCTTAGTTTAGATAGGGAGTAGGATAAGCTGACAGTTCTTTGGTACTGCACAGAGAACCCAACAACTGTGATCAAAAGAGGAGAGTATAGATAAAAGATGATTAAATTCCAGAAAGCTACCACATTCCCATTTTCTCCTCTTAACCTCTTTTCTCTTCTTTGTCTAATATCCATAATAGGAGTAACTAATGAATCTTCCAATGCTGTCAAAAAAAAAAAAAAAAAAGAGGTATGTAAAAATAAATCCTGGGGCTGTGATTGTGGCTCAGTGGCAGAGAGCTCTCCTGGCATGTGCTGGGCGCTGGGTTCGGTCCTCAGCACCACATAAAAATATTGTGTCTAACTACAACTAAAACCTAATATTGAAAAATAAATAAATAAATCCATCTGTACTGGAATTTTCCCCAAAAAGAATGAATTGTGTTGAGGAAGTTTTGCTTTACCTGCCCCTGACTGTTGAACATAAGGACTAAAGGAGATAATGTATGCAAAATGTCTATTATCAAGCTTGGCAACAGCAAGGTTCATTAAATGTCAGCCCCATTCTCAGCCCTTCTATTCATACTCAGTGGATTTTTGGAGCTAGCTCACATCAGCTCATGAGAACAGATCATTCTGTGAACCCACTGATATGATGTTGACAGGTTGTAGTTGACCTTGATGGGAGTATTTACACCAAAGAAATTGGAATTATGCAAATCAGGTCTCTTCCACTCCCCCACCCCCAGGCAGTTGTTAAACATTTACTGACCCCTGTTTGGCATTCTTTCCTTTCCTTTCTTCACAAGATGTGAGCAGAACTGTGAAGGACCGTGTGCCAGTTTGGAAATAGGTTCAGCTGTGACTGACAAACAAATGGAACATTGGCTTCCTAGCTGTAAGTTAATTTCTCTCTGGAAGAAACAAAGTTCAGATCAAGGCAGGGAGTTCAGGGCTTGGACATTAGCTCTACCTGGCTGCCTCAGCAGCCTCAAAGACTAGCGGTTGCTTCATGATCTAAGATGGAGGCTCAAGCTCCACATTTCAGCCAGTAGCAAAGAGAAGGGAGAAGAAACACAGGCCTCTTCCTCTTATGGCCACCGACAGAAGTAACCCATAATGCTTTCACTCACTTGAAACGAGTTAGAGTGAATTCCTCAGCCATGTCTAGCTGCAAGGGAGGCTTGGAGATATGATGGGTACTGCAGGCAGCCATATACCCTGCATGCAAGTGGGAAGAAGGGGAGGGTGGATCCTGAGAGAATGCTAAGAAAGCTGGCAGCCCCTCCCCCAAATGGGCAGGATTTAGGAACATGTAGGAGAAAGGGGAAACTGGTGTTGGTGTAGTGGGAATAAGCATTGTTTATATCTGAAGGAGCTGACTGGAATAGAAAATTAGAAATACTGATAAATGAGGTTAAATAAACAGGGTGAAAGCCTCAGGTCCAGGAAAGCAGACAAAAGAATTTTTGTCTCATGCTGTGAGACACCAGAGGCACTGAACTCTTCAGTAGGGGAGCTATAAGATCAAAGGTATTTAAGCAATTTTAATCTGAAATTGACTTGGAGCATGTATTGGACAAGTGAGGAAAAACAGGAAGCCGCAGCGGGGTGGGAAAGGAGATTGATTTCACAGTCCAAGTGGGAGGCCACTATGGGGGCAATGGGAGTGAGAAGCATGAAATAAAAGAAAGGGATTTGCTAGGAAATGGATTAGGATTGATGGTTGAACTCATAGGGAGCTTCAAGCTGGGGCCTTGGGACAAGGGCTCCCCACAGTAGGGTAAATGAGTAAAACTAGCTGATTGGGGTTTTAGACTGGGTTATTAGAAGCAGAACTTGGGACAGGGGTTTTGTTCAAGGGATTTAGTGGGGGAGGCTCTCAGGAGAAAAAGACTGAGGGGAATAGAATAGAATAGGAAAGGAGAAAAATCTAAGCAACCATGTGGGTTAGCTTCAGTATGAGCTAGTGGGGAAGCTCAGGGCTACAAACTATGCTCCTTCCAAGTCAGCTACACCTGGAGGCAGGGCTGGTGTTTTGCAGCCCTGTCAGGTAGTCATTAGTTAAGGTCTGTTCAGCCTGTATGCAAGAGAGGATGGCCTGGCTTCCATTTGTCTCTCAGCGATGTTCTAGGAGAGGGAGCAGCTATGTGTGGTTATTGTGTGACATTTCCAGCAACCAGGGGATGAGTGCACCAGCTGGGTAAAAGGATCTTGGTCCCGACAGCATCCAGTACAATGGATCCATTTTAGTTAAAATTAATTTGAGGTGGAAAAGAAATAAGGATATTGTTGGTGATTAGTGAGAAATTGGCAATACAAGATAGGAGTCCATATGAAAGTATTGGATATGTGGATATTGGGGGAGGCACTTTAGCACAAAGGTGAGAATGTAAGCCACAAAAAATGAGTTATTGGAAGGCCATGGATAGACAAGAGGGGAACAACCCTTTGGAAAGTAAGTTGGTCACACCCTGATGGAAAGGTAGGTGGATCCTTCCACCTAATAAATGAAAAATGCAAAAAAGTGACTGGTAGAAAATCATGCTAGTGTGGGAATTGACGTCGCATTAGGACTGAAAGTCCAGGGAAGATGTTGAAGGGCAATGTATGAAGAAAAGGTTGAGGTGTTTGTTTTTTGTCAATTTAGGGGACATTGGTGGCCTCTGAAGGAATAATTTTCACAGCAGAATAGGGTAGAATGTCAATGGTGAGGGCTAGCAATGCTTTTCACATTTCATGCCATTCTGCTCTGACTAACTCTTAACTCCTCTAGGGCACTTTCTGTTGCAATTTACATGCTACTCATCCCGTCTTGACCTAAAGTTACCCTATGTTCTGGTTGCCTAATGATACCCAACAAATCTCCCAAGATTTAGTGGCATAAGACAATCCTTTGTTATAGTCACCAATCCTGTGGGTGAGGTGTTTGGACAGAAGAGTGGGAATGGCTTGTGTCTGCTTCATGGTGTCTGGGGCTGAAGCTAGAAATCTAAAAGCTGGGCGATTGGAATCATCTACAAGCTCCTTCACTCCCATGTCTGGCAGAGGGTGCTGCCTACTGGCTTGAGGACCTCAGTTCTCTTCTCTGTAATCTAGTTTGAGTTTCTCTTGCATGGTAGCTGGGTTGCTGAGAGATGAGGCATGAACTGTATTTTTCTCCCCACAAACCTACTCTTAAGGTGCTGGAGATGGAACTCAGGGCCTTGTGCATGCTAGGCAAGTGCTCTTCCACAGAGCTATACCCCAGTCCCTTGTATTCTTTTTATGACCTCACCTTTTTATGATTTGTGTAACTTCTCTCATACCCCATTGGCCAGAATAGTCACAGCCCTTGTTCTCCCAGAGGGAGAGTACATGGCCTTAGCCTGGAATGTTAGTCATATGACAAGTAGATCATGAATATATGGATCAATCTTTGAAAAATACAGTAGTCCTCACGTACTGGAAGAGGATGCATTCCATGACCCCCAGAAAATGAATAAAACTGGGGATAGTGCCAAACTCTATCTATGCTGTTTTCTCCTCTACATAGCTATGATGAAGTTCAACATATAAATTAGGCACAGTAAGAGATAAACAATAATAACTATGATGAAATACAACAATTATAATAATACATTGTAATAAAAATTATATGAATGTGGTCTTTCAAAATGTCTTACTGTACTGTACTCATCCATCTTGTGATGATTTGAGATGATATGTTGCCTGTGTGATGAGATGAGTTGAGTGAATGACACAGCATTGTGACATAAAATTAGGCTACTACTGACCTTCTGACGGTGTGTCAGAAGGAGGATCATCTGCTATTGAGGATCCTGGATCATGGGGCCATGATGATGTTGGATGGGTAGTGTATATAGCATGGATACCCTGGACAAAGTGATGATTCACATCCTGGGCGTGATAGAGCAGGACAGCACGAGATTTCATCATGCTGCTCAGAACAGCACACAATTTAAAATGTAAATTGTTTACTTCTGGAATTTTCCATTTAATGTTTTGGGGAATAATTGAAATCCCCCCCAAAAATCAAAACCATGGACAGGGAGGACTACTGTAGATAACTGTGGAAGGAAAAAACTCCTTTGATCTATTATCTATTTTTTTCACATACAGTGCATCATTTGATCTTGAAGTAGCTATCATTACCATTTCAGGGTTAAAGAAACTAAGGCTTAGAGGGATAAATTGTCTGCCTCAAATAACTCAATTAGCAAGAGTTCAGCTGTGACATGAACTCAGGTCTCTAGTTTGATGGTGCTTTTATTAAGAACTTGCTTTCTCCAAACAGCAGATAAAATTCCTAGGGGCTGTGTTGTTTCTTCAATAGCCTGGCTTCCTCCATCCTCAGAGCAGCACAGGGCCAACCACAGGGCTATGTCCAGAGGTCCTGTGCTGCTTACTGACTGGTCCTGCATTGATACACATGGAGATTTAATGTGAAGATCTTACATAATTAATTTTTTAATATTTTATTTATTTATTTATTTTGATACCAGGGATTGAACTCAGGGGTGTTCAACCACTGAGCTTTGTCCCTATCCTTTTTTTATTTTTTATCATGAGACAGGGTCTCCTTAAGTTGCTAAGGTTATCCTTGAACTTGTGATTCTCCTGCCTCAGCCTCCCATGTCAAGTTGCTGAGATTATAGGCCTGCACCACTGCATCTAACTTCATCTTTTTCATGGGAGCAGGTAAGGGCTAAGACACAGATCTTTATGTGGAATTCATTCTCTGGGATGGTAGAAGGCCAGGAGAAAGTTGCTCCTCATTTTACTATCCAGGTGGTGAGCAGGAAGCTCTTAGGGGGGAATGGGCATTGAGTGGGAACTTCCCAGGAGAGTTCAGGTAAAGCAATCAGACCCCAATCTGCGCAGGGAAAGGGGAAAACCGAGAGAGAAGTGGCCCAGATTCTTCCTGTAGGTTCAGCTCAGAGTGGAGAGAGGAGCCAATTTCCACCCCCACCCCCTCTTCAAGGCAAATCCCAATCCTAGAAATGCTTCATTAGGATCAGGGGGATATCCTGACAAAGGACAGCAGTTGGAGTGGGTGGGAGGGAGCTAATCACCATCAGGAGTGGGTGGTACAGACCTTAACACTTGCATAGGCCTCAAATTTCCGAATCCTGCCTGGGCCTACTCCCCTGCACTCCTCTCCACCACTACCAATCTTTTGACTTTATCTGTTTTAGAAACATCCCTAAGCTAACAGTTTATTTTGGAGATTGCAGATCAGGAAGGGACTCTCAAACCACAATTTCCATTTCTGTTGTAAGGGGAGGAAACATGGGGCTTTCTAACCCTTTGATGCCTGCAAAGTAATAAGGAGGGCTACTGCCTGTTCCAAGTCTACCCTCCTCCCCTGTTGTCCCACACCAGCCCTGCAGAGTCTTTTTTTTTTTTTTTTTTTTTTTTTTTAATATTTATTTTTTAGTTTTGGGCGGACACAACATCTTTGTTTGTATGTGGTGCTGAGGATCGAACCCCAGGCCGCACGCATGCCAGGCGAGCGCGCTACCGCTTGAGCCACATCCCCAGCCCCCTTGCAGAGTCTTTTTAGATATTTTTTATTCTGGTTTCTCCCCATCCTACCTTCTGCTAAAATATGTCTGTCCCTGAATAGTCCCTCTGAAAGTAGCTCACTATGGCTTCTCATATCACCTTTGCCTCCCGGCCTCAGCTTCATGGATCTTGGTAGGCCAGCCTCAACTGTATCATGTGTGAGTCACCCTTGCTGTTGTTCCTGCCCCACCAATGTGCCTCTTGTCCCACCTCCCCACCCCCCGAGGAATTACTCATGGCTGGAGTCATCAATCCCTCGGGAATGCACCCTCTCCTCCAGGACACCCTTTCTTCCCATATCCTTTATTATTTTGTTTAAACTAACTATTT